TTAATTCACCATTGATGGGTAGATTGTAGAATTTTTGAAAAAGCGAGACAGCGTGATTCAACGTGCTCTCGGAAATCAATGAGTTTTCAGCGTTGTCCTCTAGGTAACCGTACTTGCGTAGGAACGCGATAGCGGTCTCTCTCCCATCGACAACGCTCCTCTTTGTCGTATTTGTCATCGACCTCGTCAACGCGATCGACGTCGATGCCGCGAACGCGACGAAGAGCGCGAGAATCGTCAGCGACAACGCGAGCGACGTCATCGTCTTCGCGCGCGAACTGATATTAAATAACGGTCGATTGCCGCGCGGGTGGCGATCGAAGAAGGGAGGGCGCAACAATCGCAATAATTTACAGAACAAATAACATCAACGTAATTGCAAATAAAAAAGCTGTTGCACGCATGGCAATATACATTTAGTACAAGGAAAACCGCAACGCGCCAGACGGCTGCAGCGGAAGCGTAAAAACTCTGGAAGTCTTGAGACGTTGTATATAGAGCTGCATCCGGAAGTTGCGGCTGATCTCGCAAATCCAAGACGCGCGCTAAGAATAACGCACAGAATTAATCAGAATGCTACGGATATTGCGGAGACGCTTTACTGTTCTCAGTACTGTTTCTAAGAGAAATAGTTCTGATTAGAACGTCCTGTAGGATATGTAAATATCCACAAAAATGTGTCCAACCGCATAATGGTAATGAAATTAATATTTCGTGGAAAAACTGATGCACATGCTGGGGATAAGCATCCGCTGCAACAAACTATAAAAGGATGATGCGCGCAGAGCAAATATGTAGAAAGTTTTAAAAGCACAACAATGGATAGACTGGACGAGTGCGTTGACGCAGCGGACCGTGTTGTAGCTGCTGCCGAAGCTCTGATCTATAAGGCAAACAGTTGGCTAAACAAATTACAGAAGTAAAGAAGATCAACCAAACAAATACGGAAAGCGGAAGAGGGTTCTTCTTTGTGATAACGCCAAATCCTATGAAAGAGACGATTCTGCTACAACAACTGTAAGTGTCACAAAAAAATAAATAAATAAATAAATAAAACAAAGTAAATATAAAGAATAACATTACAATATATTAAATACAATTCACTAAATTGAATAAATTAAATACATGAAATAAATTGAATATGTTAAATAATAAGAAGTATATACAATTTAGTTATTTATTATGTGTGTTATGTTATTATAGATTTAACATACACCACCAAATACATATGTGTAACGAAGACGTTACAACGATGACGTATAGCTCCGAGGCCATCGTTCGGGACGGAAGATACATACAACAACGGATCACAGAGGATGACGATGCAGCCGAATAATAAAAATGAAAAAAATAAATATGTACAAAAACACAAAAAATATATACTAGATAGTGTTACGTCCTGGAGACTCCACGGTCCCCTTTTTCATGCGACGCGACGCGCCAACGCATAGCNAACCCCCTTTTTTTTATTATAATAAATAACTCGAACGGGTCTCCTATCGTTTGGAAACTTAAAACTCCAGACGATAGGAGAACAAACAAAAATTATATCGGCGCCCGGAAAGATAAACTGCGCCTAGCAATAACACAAAATTTTAGCAGCTTTCCAAACAAAC